ATATAGTATTTGTTGTTGTCCCAGACGTAACAGCAGAAATTAGATGTGCGTGCATGTGTGCGTAAGGAGGAAGTAGAGGGTCGTAAAGGTAAACGCCCACTTTTTGGAAGCGGAAGATGGAGGAGATCTGTCTCTCTCTCTTGCCGTAGCTCCATTTCGGTGGCACATCTGCATCATGAGCTGGAGGAGAGGTCCACGCAGACATGTAGTTAGGTCCCAGAAATAAACATCGAGCCGACGTGATGTGCTGATCTCCCGGACTATGGCGAACAGCTGAAAGGTAATGTTTTCATTTTTCGTCACGTTTTTTCTCATAAGATAACGAGGGTTGCGCAAAGCTTTGCGAATAAACTAGCGCTTCTTTGCTTGCTAACTGTTCAACTTTAACTAAAACGCGAAAAGCTTGAGTGCAGATGTTGTCGCTGTGTAAAAATATATATTTAGGGATAAATAAATAGTGTTGTGTTTCCTAAATGAAGTAAAACACTTGTGTAATTGTTGTGCACCTGAGTGGTTTCTGAGTCACCACCTCCACCTGTCTGTCTCCAGCTCCCCAGCCGCCCGGTGTGTGTCTCTGCTGCCATGGAGGGTAGCCTCCCCGTGGAGCTGTGGAGGCTTATCTTAGCCTATCTCCCGCTGCCCGACCTGGGCCGCTGCTGCCAGGTGTGCCGTGCGTGGCGGGAGCTCGTCTTCTCCCTGGACAACACCCGCTGGAGGCAGCTGTGCCTGGGGTGCCCCGAGTGTCGCCATCCCAACTGGCCCAGTCAGCCTCACCTGGAGCCTCCGTCCTGGAGGGAGGCGCTGAAGCAGCACGCGCTCGCCTCCCGCACCTGGACTAGGAACGGGCCGGAGCTGCAGTCTTCCGCCTGCCTCTTGTTTTTCCGCCGGCGGAAAGACCGCAGGGTGTGGCACGTGGGGCCCGGGTGCGAGTTCGAAACCTTGCGCGGGGCTCTCGGGGTCGCGGGACCGTACGACCGGGTGGTTCTCCACCCAGGTGTGTATGAGGAACAGGCGGAGGTGGCGCTGAAGGTGCCCGTGGAGCTGGTTGGTCTGGGTAGACTGGGTGAGGTGGCCCTCCTGGTCTGCATGGAGCAGCAGTGTCCCACTGCCAGGCTGTGCAACCTGGTGTTCATGCCCCCCTGGTTCTCCACTGTTGTCTACAAGGTAACACATATTTATATCAACAAATAACTTAGAAGTAAAGTTCAAATCTTTTGAAATGGGTTCTGTGGAAAGGTCATAAGCAATTAAAAACGTAAACAGCAAATTATAAATATTGTCACTACCAGTTTCCAGTGTATATTAATTGAAATTGCTCATAACTTCAAATAGACTGAATATTCTAAAATCACTGCCCATTACTTTGATCTACAGTGTTTAGAATATTAAAAGTTTTAGCCCTTTACTTAAAGAAATTTTTAATATTTTTATTAAATTATATTATATTAAATGTAAATATTGCTTTAGCCAGATCAGGTCTGACTCAAACCCTCTCCAACTTGCTCTCCTTCAGACGTCATGGGGTCACGTCCAACTTGACAACTGCAACTTCGAGGGAGCCCAGCTGCAGATCCGTGGCCCCGGGACCTGCCAGGCTCGTTTTTGCTCCTTCTCCCAAGGCAGCTCTGCCCACCTGCTGGGCGTCGTCGTCAGTTTGTTGGACAGCTGTGACTTCTCGGGAAGCGACACCGCTTCGGTGACCGTGGAGGGTCCTCCGGCGTCGGAAAGGAACTGGGCTTGTAAACATTTAGCCGCCTTAGCCAGGACGTTCCCGAGTCAGTTCAGTAGCTCTCCCAGCAGCCCCGAGGGCAGCTCCGCCGGTGAGCCTGACTCTGCAGGTGGCGTTAAAAAGGAGTACGTGAGCATGGAAGACTGGAAGAGAAGGACAGGCGGAGATGCGGTTTGTCATGGCACTGTTATAGAAGATGATTGGAGTGATGGTGAGCCCAGTGACGGAGAGGAGCAGAAGCAAGACGGGAATCACAACTCTAAAAAGCTCTTTACACTGATTTATAAAATCCCGTATGAAAATCATGGCCTGTCCCATTTGCTCAAGCCCCGGGAGGACGGCTCTCTGCCGCTTGCCTCGGCGCCTGAACCCCCATCTGTGACCCCTGAACCGCTCACCCTCCAGCAGGAGTTAGACAGAGACCCGGAGGCTCAGATGCTGGCGTCGTCGGTCCTTGGCTGCATCGTCAGACGGTGTCTCTTCAGGGACGGGAAGGGGGGTGTGTATTTGTCCAATTACGGACAGGCTCGCCTGGAGGAAAACGTATTCCGAGGCTTGAACTACGCCGTTCGCTGCATCCAGAACTCCACAGTAAATGTCTTCACTGTAACGTTTTTATTCTGACGAATCTATGAAGTGTTTAGCCCCTTTAATTAGCATTTAGTTAACATTTCAAGTTAATGAGGTTGCAGAGATCATTAGTAATTTATCAGCAGCTTCCTGTTCATGTTACTTGATCTTTCTCTTTTCGCTCTCTCACCTTCTTCAGATTGTGATGCTGAGAAATGAGGTGTGTGAGTGCCGTGCATCTGGTGTGTTTCTGCGCCTGTCTGCTCAGGGCCTCATTGCAGAAAACAACATCCACTCAAACGGAGAGGCTGGGCTGGATATCCGAAAAGGGGCTAACCCCATCATTCTGGTACACCTGGCACCACTCTTTTCCAGGATCTTCCAGGGAAAAAGAGTCAAATTTATCATCTTTTTTCCACGAAATTTCTTAACACTCATCGCAAACGCTGAAGTTTATTATAGTTTTGTGGGTGCTACTCTGTGTTTCCTCTGTAATCTTGTCTTTTGTTCCACAGTGCAATAAGATACACAGTGGTTTGCGTTCTGGTGTCGTTGTTCTTGGCAACGGAAAAGGTTCGATTCGAAGCAACTTGATCTATAACAACAAAGAAGCCGGAGTGTACGTTCTCTTCAGTGGGAATCCTGTGGTGATGTAAGTTGAGCTCTGCTTACTTTGGATTGCGTCGGTCCCACGTTTTCCATCATTTGGATATCATTTAGTGTTTGTGCAAAAATTCTAGACTGGGTTCTCAGTGCTGTCAAAGGACAGGATGTCAGACTCAAAAAAAATCAAAAGCTGTATCATTGAGCAGAAAATCAACAAGCTCTTTGTGACAGCAGATAGTTCAACATGTAAAGCACAAGTACACTCATTACTTACACCTTTGGCACCATTGGTTCTGCTTTATTTAAGTGTCTGTGCTGCAAGTACAGTCCTCCTGCCATGATTCATTATGTGATTTACGCCTGAACAACTTTCTGATTAAATGGATCATTAAGATCTTTTGAAGTGGGGTTCTGTGGGAAGGTTATGACATTCACTATCTCACCTGTTGCAGAAAGCTCTTTGAATAACCTCAGCTGAACTGAACTACGGATGAGCTAATGGCTAGTACAATCAGGACAAACCCCACAAAAGATAATATTTCACAGCAGTTCATTCAGCTGTGATTTAATAAGTCTTTACATTGCTGTCAGTTTTGTACTTCATGGTTGTTACAGCAGAAATAATTATGATATCCCTGCAGGAAGTGCCCTTGGGATGCAAATATGTGAAACTGAAAAATAGTTTTTCACCAGTATTGAGCCGAAATTGATCCAGTTGTAGCTGAGAGTCGAGACCTTACATTATTCATTACAGAGTCATTTCTAAGATGATTAACACTATGACATGAAAGGTGACAGGGGATGTGCATTCTGTCATGGAATGCTAGAGTTTCATCTAGCAATTGTTGTGTTTTGGAATGAAATATTTGTGGCGTTATGTGGATTGTTCAGTTGCCTTTATATTTGCATCATGCTGGCATGTACCTAAGCCGTAAATGTGTAGTAGACGTGTGTACACTATGCAAAGAAGATGGATTGGTGGAGGTTTTATTTTTGTAAAGTTCACGTCTCTACACTTTTTTTTTTTAGTGGGAATCACATCTTTCAGGGCCAGGCAGCAGGGATCGCTATAAATGAAAATGGCAGAGGGATGATAACAGGTGTGTGTAAGTGACTTTGCAAGATCTCCTCGTCCATAATGCAGTTCACCGTGACTTGGTTTATCATGTGCGCGTGTCGTTGTTCATCCCAGAGAACGTGATCAGGGAGAACCAGTGGGGGGGAGTGGACATCCGCAGAGGAGGTGACCCCATTCTGAGGAACAACTACATCTGCTACGGCTACTCGGACGGCGTGGTGGTGGGGGAGAGGGGACGAGGACTTATTGAGGGAAACCGTGTCTACTGTACGTGATTTAAATCTCATCACGGCAGCCTCACATGAAGAGTGACAAGTTCTGTGTTACAGATGCTTCACTTCCTCCTGTTCTGATTCATTTAAAGGTAACAAAGGCTGCGGCGTGTGGGTTATGTCGTCCAGCCTCCCGCAGCTCCTGGGCAACTACATCATCCACAACTGCATGTACGGGCTGGCCGTGTTCGGCAGAAAGGACCCCGATTACGTCGAAGCCAGGGAGGGCAACTGGCCCGGACAGGAAGCTGGAGACGCAGCCGGCGGGGAAAGGAGGGCGGCAGAAGGAGAGGCGAGAGAAGCACAGGAGAACTTTAACGAAGAGGGCGAACTGTTCGCTTGGGAGAGCGATCTGGACAGCGAGGACGAGCGCCACTCTGCTCGCCGCTCCGTCAGCGTGGCCCTGGTGGAAGGCAACTGCTTAAGCCACAACGGAGGTACTAACACGAACCTTCACGTCAAATGCATCTAGTGCCGCCCAAGGTTATAATAGTTTTGGCTTTTTCATTATAGTTTAATTTAGTTTTGACTTTTTTTCTTTTAATTCAGTTAGTTTTAATTCGTTTTTAAAGTGGATTGACTAGTTTTTATTAGTTATTATTGCATTTTTAATGCTTAGTTTAGTTTCGTTTTTTTTTTAGTTGTAGTAGTAGTTTTTTTAAAGCTTGAATAAACATATTTGCCAATGCATCCTCAAGCTTGTGATGTACCTGTGAGTTAACTAAACAACAGCTATTTGTTCGCCAGTTAAAGCAGACATTATAGTGACACCTTCCTAAAATAATTGTGTAACTTAATTTTGCCACCTAAGGACATGGGCGATTATTTTAGGACAATAATAATAGTTGTCTCCAACCCGGTGCTACCCGTGCTGTTTTTCACGGGAACTACTGAGAGAAGCTAGCGTGTCAAGATAGTCATAGTTAGCCATCTTGTGTGAGCTTGATTCATACAGTTTTTCTCTTAAGAAGTATTCCACCTATTTTATCACCTATTTCCATTACAAGACACTTGCTTTTATTTTTCTCGCAGTCATATTTAAAGAAATCCCAAAGTGGACATTGCCGCTTTCTCCCAACTTTTGTTGTTGTTGTCATTTTGTAGACGATGCTGAGAGCAGACTGTAAACAAGTGTTGTTACGGACCACAGATAATGTGAAATTACTCAATTAAAAGAAAACAAAAGATCCACATGGCTCAAAATAACTTGACAAACACTAAAACTAAGGATATTCTATCTATGATTTCAGTTAGTTTTAATTATTTTTGTAGAAAGATTATACAGTTTTAGTTAGTTATCGTTTTTTCATTTTATTACAGATTTTATTTATTTTAGTTAACTAAAATGTTTTTTCAATTTCAGTTTTCATTACTTAGTTTTAGTGAACTATAATAACCCTGGTGCCGCCTCTAATCTCCTCCCTCGTCCCGTCTCTCAGCGGTCGGCCTGTACGTGAAGAGCAGCGAGGCCCTGAACGTCTTCGGGAACCTCGTCAACAGCAACTGTGGCCCCGGCGTCGCCGTGCTGCAGAGCGGTCAGCTGACCCGGCTCGTCACAAACTGCATCGTGGAAAACGGTCGAGGCGGCGTCGCCGTGGAGAAAGACTGCAGGGTGGAGCTTCGTGGTAACGGCATCTATGAAAACGGCGGCCACGGCGTGAGGCTCAGCGGGAACGGGCAGATAGTGGAAAATGATGTGGTTGGTAACGGTGGATGTGGGATCCAGGTCTCTGCCAGCACTGACATCAAGGTGAGGAGTTTCGAGATTATCAGACACATTTAGCACATTTTCATATGTTTGAATACATATATACTTTTATTATTATTATTTATTTGCGTCTATAGGTAGTCCGTAACCGGGTCCAACCAGTACAGGGCTGTGGCATTGCTCTGCTGGGAGCAGTAAAAGGTGTCGTTCACGACAACATCCTGTTCCAGGGCCACCCGGGCAACAAGAAGTCCCTCCTACACGTAGATCCTGGCAGTGAAAGTTGTGTGTTGCGCAACAACAGTATTTTAAAGCCTAATAACAGGTAACTAAGCGACAAACTACCGTCTGCACATTTTCTCCCTTTTCTCTGAATGTCAACATGGCAGCCCTGATTATTTCCATAATAACAGTGTTTCAGTAGCCGGGATAACAGCTCCGTGGCGTGCGGTGCCAACGCGAACCTGTCAAGTTGCAGTTCTCGATCCACATTTGTCTTTTCTTTTCGTTGCTTTCTTTAGGTTTTAACAGTAGATTGTCTGTCTGCCTACGTCTCCTTATCCCTAGCATCCTCCTCTGTCACACCAACCATTTTCTTATCCTCCTCCACAACATCCATGAACCTCCTCTGAGGTCTTCCTCTTTATTCAACATCCAATACATTCACGATCTCTCCTCTGCACATGTTTGTAAGGGTCATCCCGAGGGGGAATAAACATTTCCACCTGTCTTTGACTCTGGTCTCAAAAGACCTTCTTCAAAATAGACATTTTATTTTCTTTAATAAACAAAATAATAATGTTATTTATATTTTTGATTTATACTTTCTTTTAACTACAAGTTATCATTTTTGTAAATCAAAGTTTACATAATGAAAAGAATGACAATCTATCCTCTTGCATTATAATTAAGAAAAAACACACAAAAAGAATGTTGTTCCAATGTTACTTTGTTTGTTTTATACAAATCTTTGTTTAATCAACTGCTATTTGACAGTAAAGTGATTATGTGTTTTTCTGATTTATTTTTCAATTTAACTAAATTGATCATTATGATTGAGTTCACTATGTTTTATTATGAAATATATATAAAAATATTTGTATTTGAATCATAGACAAATATTTTAAGATTTTAGTTTAAACAATTCACTTATGTTTCATTCAACTTTAATTCATTTTCATTCAGTGTTAATCTTATCAAAGTTTGAACTTGTTTTTCTGTGCAGGTGCTGAATACACTGAATGAAAATGAACTAAAGTTCACTAAAGAACATTATTATTTTGTTTAAAGAAAATAAAATGTCTCTTTTGAGGAAGGTCTTTTGAGACCAGAGTCAAAGACAGAAATGTTTATTCCCCCTCAGGGTGACCCTTACACGTTCAAAACAACCAGAAAACCTTTTCTCCGAAGTTGAAAGTTTCTCTATGTTATTAGATGTCTGGAAGTTTTATTATATAAACCTACGTTTAAGTTTTCATTTTTATAGTTTGTGTTTTTATGACCATGTTTAGCTCTGCATCTGGCTGCTTTTTATGAACTAAAGTTAGTTGGAAATATAATTTTCTCAGCACCGTATGGCAGCAACATATTGCAACTTCAGCAGTTAATGATCAGGATGTTCCCTTGAAGAGCAAACACGAAAAATAGCACATACCTGTTGTTCGGGAGAAAGAAGTTTGCCACCAGCAGCTGTGAATAATTGTTGGTTTTATTTATTGTTTTCTTTCTCGTTTTACATTTTCGTAGCTGTGCACCTGCTCCCCCGTGGGTTTTGGATAACCCTCCTCCTCGCCCACTGGCCAGTTCCCCTGCTGGCCTCTCCTCGTCCCAGTACCCGTCCCGAGTTGGGATCTCCATGACTGCCAGGGTTGGGGCTACTGTGGAAAGTGGTTGCCACAGCGGCAGCATGTTCTGCTGCATCCTGTGAAAACTGACCAGCACTTATAAACCAAAACAAACTCCACTGGTCTGATATCAAGATCTGGACACTGATGCTGCGATGGTCTATGTACTTTCTAAATACACATCCTGGTGTAATTAATTGTCTTAGGTAAACAATTTTTTTGGTCTTTCAGTGTCAAAATGGCACATTTTTAAAATTTCCACAGACTTTTTAAATTTGAAAAAATATAGATTAATAAGGTGGAGCTTGAGTTTTCTTGTCGTCTTACATTTCCTACATTTACATCACTACAGCTTCACTTTAGTCTCCTTTTACATTGTAGTTTTTGTTTCTGGGACTCTCGTTTGGGATATGCACATTTTCAAATCCTAGCAGGAGTCAGAGGCTTCAGAAAGTAAAGCTGCGCGTGCCTTTTTTTGACTTTTGAAATGAACGACTGTAGCTACGATTGGAGTGTTCAGAGTTTGAGTCTTTATGCAAAAAAAAAAAAAAACCAAGCCAAAACTAAGCTTCTGCCTCTTGCACAGTGCGTTGTGTTCAGGTGAGTGTTGAGTTTGGAACCATGTCCTTTTTATAAAAATGTACCAATGAGGTTAGGTCTTGTTTCAATTAATGGTCTGTGGTGACTCACTTGGCAACAACCAAACAAAAAGGAGAAAAAAAAAAGTTTATTGTGCAATATGTGATGTCGACAAATGTGCCTATACGTTTAAGCTGGATGTTTTTTTCATCTAGAGGTTGTTTACAGCTCATTAGTCTGCTTTTTATTTCTATTTTCCATGACTTCTGTTAAAAATGGCACATAAAATTCAAAGTGAACCATTTTATTTGTATACAAAATACACTAATAAACACTTCACATTTGTGGTGTTTCCGCTTAAGTCTTTTCCCTGTTTTTTCTTTTTTTAATGCATTTTCTTGCGCTTCCGTCTCTCGAGGAACTGATCGTATTTGACCAGAGGTAGATCCAGAGAGGCCTTCCGGTGGTCCTGGCTCAGTGTGGTCTCCTTATTCTTGTCCCGGGCCGGTTTAAATAAAGACAGTCCCATTGACTTTGCAACCTCGGTCATCCTGTAGGGAAACGTAAGGTTGGCAGAAAAGGAAACTTCTTGAAATGTGATCCAAATACAAATTCAACAGAAAATGAAATGCTTATTTATTACAGCCAATTAGCTTTGGTGAATATTTAAATTTACTAGTTAATATCCTTGAATCTTTCATTATAATTTATTTGTTGGTTCATGAGATATTCTGCCAACACGACAAAACGCAGGAGATAAATAACAAAAGGAGTGCTTGGGGTTGATTTGACATTAATATTTAAAATATTAAAGTCAGACTTGGCTTACTTGGCATCGGTGATTGCCAGGTCACGATGCAGTAACGTCAGGTCAGCAGTCATGTGACCCATATGTAGCAGCAGTGCCAGGCTGTAAGCTGCCAGTTTGTTTTTCATTGACGTTGACACTTTATATTGGACACTAGAAGGAAACGCAATTTTTTTTTTTTACAAAAACAAATTGGTTAAACAACAAAAGAAGAACTTTTAGCTTCAATCTCTGATCATCATACCTGCCCTTAATGAAGGTTTCAACCGTGAAAGTTCTGAACAGCTTGTTCTGGATGATGCGAGGACAGCCCTCCTCCTGTCCAACTGTAAACAAATAAATTAAAGCATGTTTTTATATACATTCACACACATTTGATGCAAATAAATATGTAGTTTTTAAAAAGTCTGCATTACAAATGTCAAAGGAAATCCCAACTGCTCACATTTTCGGGTGATGTTCCTTTGACGAGCCAGTTTGAGGAGCATAGAGAGGTAGAAGGCGCAACGAGCCATTTTCTCTCTGGCTTCGCCCTCAGGTGGCAAGTTCTTCAGATGTTCAGCAACACAAAGGGACCTTTAGGAAATTAAAAAAAGAATTAAAACGAATGCAACAAGAAACTCATTAAGACTAACTTAAATCCACGGGTGTGAACCATTTGCTGCCGTACCCTGCATCGCTCATCTTACTCAGCTCCTCGGCAGTGAGCGCTGCCATCTTGGAACCGGCCACCTCCAAAGCAGCAAGCTCATTCGGATCCAGGACTGCGTCATATCAGTTGAGGGTAAAAAAAAAAAAACAACAACAACCTCTGCTGTATTCTTTACATTCATTCAAATACACACACAAAAGCACACAGGAAATAAAAGATACGCTCATCGAACGGGTAGACGTCCTCTCGTTTTTCTGCGTTCGGGTTGCAGGGAGGCAGGTGGGAAGGCAGAGCTCCCTGGGATTCCGTCTCTGTCACTTCCTGTTGGAGAGCTGAGGAGAAAGATGTAAAACTATTCTGATAAAGCAACAATAAAAGCTGATCATTTTTCATTCTTTACTACAAGATCTAGTGATTTCTGTTCTAGCTGAAAATTGTCTCATGAAGCGATATCGACCTGCAGTCAGCATTAGTAAAATCAGAAATTACTACTCTCCCACTATCTCATCCCGTGGACTGACTGCATTGTTACTATTCATTACTGGTTATTTAAATCCACTTTTCCCTTCAGACCTGATGCCTGAACCACCTCACACACACAGATCAACAAGACGATTCGCCTCACCTTCCAGGCCCTTCTTGTCGATCACAGAGCTGGCAGCTTTAGCCACAGCTTGATGCAGGGTGTCCTTGCCCACCTGATTCAGCCTGCGGGAGGTCAGAGCTTTCTTTTGTTTGGTGGTGCCGAATGCCTCAATTAATGAGTCAACCTAAACAAATTTAAAAAAAAGAAAAAGATCCACGCACAACTATAGTTTTTAAATGTTTTTTTTTTCTTAAAATACCAACATGTCAAATCATTGTACCTTATCTCTGTAAGCCAGAGTTGTGTCCTGAGGTTTTGCTGTCTCGGTTCTCTCACCTGGTGGTTCCATCAGAATATTTAAAGTTAGTAGGATGAAGTCTCCTAACATGAAGCTGTGCAGCATTATTACATTCAGAATCAATATGTGATGCATTTACCTGGAATATCAGGCTGCATGTTGAACACCTGAGCACTGTGCAGCCCCATCTGCATTGTCCGTTTGTTCAGAACTCCAATGTAATATCTGTGGAGGCACCAATGCTGCTTAATAATCCCCTCATCACAAAACAACTAAATCATGTATCTGACTCTCTCTCTCTCTCACTTGCAGAGGTTGTTGCACTTCAATGATCCTGCTCCAAAGTTCTGTCCAACATAGCACAGCCTGTCTGATTCAGCGACCTCAACACACGACAACATATCTATTAAAGAACATTTAAGTTGCACATGAAACTCTAGTCAATCTTCATCCCACTCACCAATATCCGTCTGTGCTTCTTCCTCGGGTTGTTTTCATCCACGCTCTTAAACATGCTGAAGTCCAGTTTGTCTGGGTCCTTGAAGCAGCCATTCGAGAAGCGGACTGTGTATATGTTAAAAAATATTAATAAACAAAACGAGAATTAACATGCGGACAGAAGCGACACTCGAAACAAAACCATAACAAAGTAGCTAGCTGGCAAAAACTGTGACCAGCGCCCACGTGTACACGCATTTTGTGGTTTAAACTGTACCTCTGAGGCAAACACAACACTACCTGTCATTAGGTAACTTAAATTAACCTTTTAAGTATTTCAAAAAATAAAAAAGAGAGATAAATAATCACCGAGAACAGCTTTGTCGTTTTCCGTCTCCTCTTCGCAGCACACGAATGAACAGGAGGCAGCCATGACACTTTTTGGGAAGATTTCGTCGAGATGAGATGTTTCACTGTCTTACTTCCGTTTTCGTCTAAAAGTCTTTCCTCCCAGCAATGCAATGCTTTTTAACAAAATACAACACATTTAAAGCAAATTTATCAATACAACAAGATAAAAGAGTCTATAGATTTATATACTACGTGTTAGTGCGAATCATTAGCGTCAATGGTCACTCATTAGCCCTTATAAAGTTACTCCTTCACTTTTTGCCATTCAGATTAAATTTGAACCTTTTTATTTCAATATCACAAGATTCATGCAGAGTAACTCTTTTCTAAAACTGCAATAATTAGCAAAAACCTTAAATTTCTATTGTGCACTGTAATTTCATGGATGCAACAATCAATGGTGTGAGGTGATGTGAAGCATCTCGATGTGCATACGATCTTTGGTCGGGTTCTGCAGCGTCACCCTGTGGTGAAACTTTGCAGCACTTTGCGTCAGCGAGGTCGCGACGGACATTATGGAAGTGAAGCACAGCGCCACCCTGTGAGTCTGGTTTGGAAAAACCGTCTGAGTGACAGAAAATTATCAGAAATTACAGTTACAGTCGTTTTATATCCAGTCGACGGGCATCATGTTGTTACGTGATGTTGAGTAGTTGTACACGTGAGACGTGTCCGTCGGGTTTGAATCAGCGGTCCAGTCCAATGTATCGAGCCAGGGCTAACTGTGAGGAAGTCCGCAGCAGAAGATGTTGATAGCAAAGGAAATGTTAGCAGGCGGTTGCCACACTTGAGGGGACATTTTGTGGTGGGGGGAAAGAACGATTTTGGCTCTGAGAGGAGCGGTTCATCCTCTGGGGACATGCTGCTGCTACTTGTGCTGTAGCTAGCAGGCACTTGTGCCGATGCTGCTGGCAGCTAAATTTAGCATCTTCAGCTAAAATACTTTGTTTTGTTTTTTACTTCTACGTGTTTGGAAATCTCAAGGTAATAAACATGGTATTTTTTCTGAACTAGCAACATAGTGCTTCTGTATTACTGTTTTATTTGGGTTAGCTAGCTGTCTGTGCTGTAGCTAATCAGTAGAGCTGCTAGTATGTTAACTACCCACCTTTACGCAGGTAAACAGCTGAACTAACTTAGGTGTGAGCTTTTTTTGTAATATATCATGTAGCTGCAGCATATATATGTCTACTAACAGTGTTGGTCTTTTAAAAATATTATTTTAGGTCCTTCAGTCAATGACTGCAATTAATCTACATTAGGAACGTTTTTTAGAACCCTCAATGAAAACAAACAGCTTTACTTTCATAATTTTTATTCCTACTTAATGTTCTTTGCAGTGGTTGATATACATGGAATGACTAAATCCAAAATGCCCCTGGATTATGTCTGATTTGTTAGGCAAATTGTACATAATGTAATGGCTGTACATCATCTGGGGCCAGTTGTTATAATATGTAATCTGGATCAAATTTATCTGAATTTGGAAATCCCATTCTTTGCTATCCTGAATCAAGGAAGCTGTCTTACTTTTATGCCAGTTTTTCAAAGCAACATTAAATTAGATCGCCCTGATGCAGATCCCCTGTTTTCAAGGTGACCAAATCTGGATTACCAGTGCTCTAAATAAGACGTATCACAATGTGGGTTCCGAGCGATGTAAAAAAAACAACAGGTAGAAGAGCCAACATGGGGTCACTTTGTGTTTATTATTTTGAGACAAAAAATAACAGAAACATTCACTTCCTTTTATAATTTCTGACCTCATCTGAGCCACAACAAATATAAAAACAAATATACATTAACAAGCACATTGTGGATATTTTGAAAACGTCATCGTTTAAAAAAAGGCTAAGTGTCCAATAGTCAGCAAAATAAATGTTTAGGGTTCTTGTTCATCTGAGGAGAGAGCAGCATTTCCAAGCTCTGCTTTTAGGAGGCGGATCTGAAGTTCCACGTTGGTTTGCTGCAGTTTGCTCAGCTTCATTTGTTCCTCTGCCAGGAGAGTCTGTGCTTCTGCTTTCAGTTTCTCATTTAAGAAGTGTTTTATAGGCAATCATTACTATTTGACAAAGGATGCATCAACGTCCCTAATTATGATGATGTTCACAATGCACCTGGGCCTGCTGAAGAACCAGACCAACCTCAGGCATGTCACAGAACAAGGGACTGACTGTCTGACATGCAGTAAGGGATGCAATTGTTAGAAATAATTTTTGACAGGTTCATCTCTGATGATTGTTTCTTTGAAATGAATATACAGTGGTCATTTACAGTATTTCATGGGAACACTATCATTTTTATTTGACTTTTACTTTATACGGAAAGGCTTAATTGGTAGTCTATGTTTACTTTATCTTCTTTATCACTGTAACAGTTAAACAAGTCAAGTGCAAGATAAAGCATATATACACTAAATGAAATGTATTATTTGGCCAGTTTGTACTACACTTTCTTCCTGAATTCCACCTTGTAATCCTACCCCATGTTGGGATTAGGATAATCCTGTTTTTTTTTTTTTTGGATTAAACTTATCCAAATCCTGCTTAAACGTTTTGAACAAGACAAACAAAGTTTGATCCAGATTAAAACTAAGATTGAATTCCATTATCCAATCTGATTTCAGAATCTTTCTTTCCCTTTCGAACAACCCATTTTCAAGATTTGATCTAATCTGATTGCTAAAATTCGATCAGATTACCTTTGGAAAAACTGGCCCCTGATTTTGCTTCATCATCTTTGTTGCTTTGTCTGCAGGGTCATGGATTTCCCAGGCCACTTCGAGCAGATTTTCCAGCAGCTCAACTACCAGCGTGTCCACAGCCAGCTGTGTGACTGTGTGATTGTGGTGGGCAGCAGACACTTTAAAGCCCACCGCTCGGTCCTCGCAGCCTGCAGCACCCATTTCAGAGCGCTGTTCACTGTCGCAGAGGGCGACGCCAGCATGAACATGATCCAGCTGGACAGCGAGGTACGGCCGCGGCCGGTGAACGTGTCGCAGCTTTGAAAGCGTGATGACGAAGTCTTGTGTTTCTGCAGGTGGTGACAGCGGAAGCGTTCGCCGCTCTGGTGGACATGATGTACACGTCGACGCTCATGCTGGGGGAGAGCAACGTCATGGACATCCTCCTCGCCGCGTCGCATTTGCACCTGAACAACGTCGTGAAAGCCTGCAAGCACTACCTGACCACGCGCACGCTGCCCGTGTCCCCCTCGTCCAGCCACCACCGCCCCCAGCAGGAGCAGCAGAGGCACAGGCAGCAGCAGGCGGCGGATTTGGTGACCCCTAACCTAGCAGCCAGTTCTAACCCCACGGCCGCCTCGTCCAAGCTGCAGCGCTCCTTCCTGCTGCAGCAGCTGGGCCTCAGCCTGGTCAGCTCGGCTCTGGGGGGGATGGACGAGGACGGGGTGGGCAGCAGAGTGGTCGAACAGAGGGCCTCCTTCCCAATAAGGCGCTTTCACAAACGTAAGCCCTCTCTAGCCATGGGACTCTCCGAGGAGAGACCCCGACAGAGGCAGCGGCCCTCGGCGCCCAACCTGGGACTGTTAGGAGACGACGGGGGGAACGTGGAGCGAGAGGAGGGGGCGCTTCTCTCGCCCGACTCCCACAAGATGGGGGACGAATCCAAGCTGGACGCTTCGGTCCCCGGGCTGGTGCCTCCAGACGACTCTCAGGTGCCGAGTCAGTCGGACGGCGGGCACTGTGAGGGGGAGGGCCTGGGGAGGATGCAGGGGGTGGTGAGTAAGGAAGAGGACATGGGTGAAGATGATCATAAAGAAGACAGAGGAGCAATGAAGATCAAAGCAGCTGCAGAGGCGGAGGCTGAAGAAGAGGAGCAGAAGGTAACCTATCGCACTTACAACCTCATTTTCTAAAACAAGAACAAAAAAAGTCAGGATGTTGTGTAAATTGTCACTCATAATGCAGTGATGAGTTTAGGTCCAAGAAATTAATTATTTTTTCAGATGAGTGCAGTTTTCTGTTTTTATTTAAACTCATTTCAGGAACACTTAAAATGCTCAATTTTAATTTCTTATCTGGATTTGTAACTTTTTTTTTCTTTTTGTCTTTCTGTAGGTGGTCATTAAGCGGGAGCCTCTCAGTTCGCCTGAGCCGGCGGATGAAAACAGCGACGTGACGTCGCAGGCGGAAGGCAGCGACCCAGCTGAGCCTGGCTGCCAGGAGGAGGAGGAGGAGAAGGTGGAGCTGAGCCCAGAGAGCAGCGACCGCAGCTTCACCTCTGAACCCCAGCCCAGCTCCGGCCCCCTGCTGCAGTCCAGCTCACAGCTCCTCCTCAAGAGCAGCCTGGTGGGAGGCGGCGGCACCGGGGTCGCAGCAGATTTTGGCTGTGGTAACGGACTCGGTGGCAAGTCCAGCTTCAACATTTCCAGCTTCTTGGGGCAGAAAGATTTCGGTAGTGGCCGGTCGGGGATGGTTTCTGGAGAGGATACGCTTCCCAACACGACGACGGGGGATTCTGTTTCTCACCACTTCCTGCTCAGGCAGGATGCTGCCGGACCGTCAGGCTCCGCCTCTTCCTCTCGTCTGCAGACGGGTCCGCTCGGCGGTGAGGGTAGCTTCGGAGAAACTGATTCTCTCTTTCTCCGTCCCCTGCACGATGGTTTGGGAAACCCCAGAGGAGGTGGGGGTGGAGGGCGCGGAGGGGTGGATCCCTTTGGCTTGGAGTTCCAGCGCTCTAGTCTGGGTCTACACTCGCTGGGACGCCCCTCAAGAGGGACAGGAGGAGCCTCCCCTCTCGGCTATCCGAGCTACCGGCGCATCGCTCCCAAGACGTCCTCCGGAGTCGGAGAAGAAAGAGTAAGCGCGGTTCTTCAGGATGCTGCCTCCTCCTCTTCTTCAAGTCTGACCGGTCCCCTGCTCCTCAACGAGAGCGGAGGGTACGAGATGAGCGGCGGCAGGACCACCTCCCTCCCGCCTCAGCTCACGCGGGCTTCAGCAGACGTCCTGTCCAAGTGCAAGAAGGCTCTCTCCGAGCACAACGTCCTGGTGGTGGAAGGGGCACGGAAGTACGCCTGCAAGATCTGCTGCAAGACCTTCCTCACCCTGACCGACTGCAAGAAACACATCCGCGTTCACACGGGAGAGAAGCCGTACGCATGTCTGAAGTGCGGGAAACGCTTCAGCCAGTCCTCACATCTGTACAAGCATTCAAAAACCACATGTCTGCGCTGGCAGAACAGTAACATGTCCAACGCTCTGCTCTAAGTACTGATGGACAAAAAGTCCATGCAACAGTCAGAGATCAGCTGGACTTTAGCTCCCAGGAATGTTTTTTTTTCCCCTAAAGCTCTGATTGAGTTATTGGTTTTCATCATCTGCTCTTTCCAAATCAAGCAGTCCTGATCAAAGACCAAAGATGGAGATGATTATAGGATTACTGAAATAGCACAGACAAGTTGTTAAGATCTTAGAAATACATGAATTTTGTTATTTAATGCTACATGCAAAATGAAACAAGTACAGATATGTCTTGTTATATAGTAGACACGGCATTTTAAACTGTTTTATGAGTATTTCTCATGCAGAACATGAACTTTGCATGGAGTGATTCAGGCCAAACTAGGCTTTTAAAATCAAAATAAAAGTGTTTGTCTGTGTCATCTTGTCGGAGGAAGTTATAATTGTACTTGGAAGTAAATTTGTTTTAGTCTTTACTGATTTGTGTAACACTTGTCTAAGGTTCATGTTTGCATTGCACATTAAAGCCCTGTCACATGTTTCAGACAACTTTTGCTGACTTATAAATATTTGGTCTAAGACCGTGACATACTCTGAAGATGGAATAAAAGAAATCAACTGAAGTATCTTTTGGACGTATCCATACTAAATCACTAATGATTTGAACGTACAACTAATCTATGTTTAACTTAATTTTAGTGTAATTTATGATGAATTTAAGCATATCATGTTAAAGCGTATTATAACGATCACGACTTCAGATCAGAGTGATCTTTAGCGCATTCCATCATGTGGGACAAAATGTTCATACATCGGCAAAGTTGTCTAAAATGTTATAATAAACCACGCAGCAGCTTCTTACCTCTGAGTCGTACATACTGACTGCCCCTATTTCAAACCACAGAGTCGTTCAGAGCTGTGTTCATGAAATTTCTTGTACAAAAAACAGTTTGAAGTCAGATTTCAGGCTGTTGGACAAAATGTATAAAGTTAAAATGTTGTAAAAACTTGAAACATTTAAAGATCAAACATTCCTTGAAGGAATGCTTTTATCTCCTGTCGCCTTTCAAGCCTCAGTTTTAGGTTGAGATCATCTTGAGAAGTGATAGTTGTGAATGATCTGATCAGATTTTGGAAAATAACGTTCTGCACAATTCTGTGATACGAGATGTCGCACTCAAAGTAGGTACTGTGAACAACTCTTAGCTACTACCACATCAAACTGTAGCTCATAATCTGTAAAATAAGCTGAGTTTTGTGTTGATTAATGTTGATTAGCTGTGGTATCCCTCTTGAATTGGATTGACTTGAAAAGTTGCAGATGTTCACCCAGTGATAAATTTCTGTAAGTTTAATTAAAATCCAGTTGATTAAATATTCTGCCATCAGACATAGTTGACTCCAAGTGGTTATGGTAACGTTTTTAACAAAGGTCCTGTGCAATCTGCCAGAGCTCAAAATATGTGTTGAGGATCTGACTCGGCTACTACCACACCCAATTTTAGCTCAGTTTCTTCAAAATTCACAGTTTAAGCCAGTTTTGGTCTTTAAAGTCAGTCAGTTGTGGCAGCCATCTTTAAACACACCAATCTTTTTAATACTGAAATAAGCTGGGAAGATTCGCTGTAAATATTCATGTTCTGCCTTCATTTGCCTTATTGTGCTGTCTGATTGTGAAACGTGTGGCTCTGTTACTGACTAAAAATGTCTAAATAAATTTTGCTGTGGCCAAACAGAAAAAGGACAAAAATTGGACGCACCTGGAGCTGTCCCTGCGGTCACCGACAGGTGTGAAGTTGTGTTAAAGGACAGGCGTTCATCACGTGTTAGAAATGTAAATATTGCACATTTCTGGTCTGTTTCACCCAGTTTCCTCTGGGGTATTGACACAAAACATATAAAGTATTAGACTTGTACTGGTTTCCTGTTCTACTAAATGTTTATTTCATTTTTTTTTCTGCAGTACTTGTAATGTAATTGGATTCAGAAGCACTTAGACAAATCAGTCTTTTTATAACCAATATGTCTACTGGAGCTATGAAGATGTTTTATGGGGATCCAGCTGGCCAAATCTATCTATGTTGGTTATGAAAGCCAAGAGTTTTCTTCCTCAGCGGACAATCAATCAAACATGGTGTCCACTATTCCAGTGAAGTCAATATTTCACAGAAAATATGATTTTAAAAGCAAACTTTTAGCAGGACGTGACTGTTTTTCTTCTCAATTTCAGGGTTTTTTAAGTTGTTTCTTTGTCCATTCAGCCTGTGGAGGGTCTAAGACGTGCTGAGAAGAAGTTTCTGTGCGTCATCAATGTTGTAAATAAGAGCGTCTTTATCAAATAAGGCAGAGCGCAGTGTTCTCGTCTTGTCGAGTTTTGTTTTAGTGAGCTGAAATGAAAAATCACATTTGCCTTTTCATGTGCTATCATTGTCGGCACCTTTTTGTGAAAGTCAAAACACTGGTAGTCTGTACAGTACAATAGTTTTATTCGTCACATTTATCTAACATGTCGTTGCTTCAGAAAAGAAACCGCCTCGTGGAATATTTCCTCCTGTAAACGCAGCCTACCGTTTGGTAGATTTGGTAATCATGAGCTAGAAGATGTGTTAAAATTGACCAGCGGTGGTTAAAGGTCAGTTCTATCCCAGCCAACCTTTTCACACATTAAAGCACGAGGCAGCTACTGTGTTCTTGCGAAAAACCAGAGGCGATGAGATGAAAGCATCCTCTTTCAAAATGGTCTCTGTTGTAAGGTTATGAACAAATAATATCTTACCTGTTGTAGATAGCTTTTTTTCCCTTCCAAATGTTGCAAATATGAGAAGTTAGCTGTAGTACTTTTGGTGCAGCCTGGGGCTTAATGATATATTTATACACACACACAGGAATACGCCCTTATTGTGACACTGATGACAATGTAAAAGTTTTAAAAATAACATTTGCCTGAGCTATTGAATGGTTGATACTGGAATTGTTTTAGGATGGCAGCAAACTTATCTGATTAGAATTAAACTTTTATTTCATCAAATAGTTCAAAGAGTTTTCTACAACAGATAAGACGGTGATTGTTCATAACCTCGTCACAAAATCCCATTTCAGATTATTTGAACTATCTCTTTAACAAAGCTGTTTTCAGTAACTATTACATCGATGCTTTATGTTAATCTCTGAAAAATGCACTGTGTTAGATTTTTAAATTATTCAGAGGTTTAAAAATTCAAAAAAAAAAATCACTGCCTTACACTTTAAAGCTTGAGAAATTGAGCTTCTGTTTGGCCCCTCATTGTGCAGCCATTGGTTAAATTGTCTCTAACTGTTTGAAAGTCATGATGATTGTAAAGTATGTTCGGCTGTTGTATAGACTGAATAAAAAAACTTAAAAGTTTACTCTGAGCTTTCTTTCTGTGTAAAAATTTGACTTGCTGATAAAAACTTACATTTATTTCAATAAAAATGCACTCATTTCCCCAAACTTAGTCTGTTCTCAGCGTGGAGCCGGTCTCTTCCTACAGCTTGAGCTCTTTGATCATGGGCTGCCCCCGCAGGCCGAGCAGGAGGTTATTGGCTGCCAGGGCGGACATGGCGTTCCGGGTGGTGTAGGAGGCGCTGGCGATATGCGGAAGGATGACTGCGGGGGGTGGCAGAGTTAACAGGATGAAGAAATAATAAGGGTTAGAGCTGGGGGGAGTGATGGTGTGTTAGACTCACCGCAGTTGTTCAGGCTGAACAGTGGGTGGTTGGTGGGGAGGGGCTCGGGGACGGTGACGTCTAACCCAGCTCCTGCTATCTGCCCAGAGGCCAGAGCCTGATACAGGTCCTCCTGGTTCACCACCCCACCTCTGATGCAACACAAAGACCAACAACACAACTATAATTGACCAATGCTTCACTCTACTGGAGGGCCAGACCTTGTGGTGAACCCCACTGACCCCTGAGTTTCCAACAGATAAGGACACCGCTTAAAACTTTCATTTATTTTACATTTTTAAAATAAATGGTTTTTCTGATGAGCCAGGCTGTTAAAATCACCTTTATAGCTTTCTATCTAGCTGTGGTGGCCATGTTGAATTGGATTCATTTAGAAAGTTTTGTTAAGATTTGTCCAGTGATAACGTGAGATATTTTGCTAACAGACAAACCAGCTGGACTCCAGTAATTATTAGCAAATTTTCAACAAAGAAAATGTGAAATGTGTAGCACTTGGGGTGAGTGTTTAACTCTCAGCTACCGGTTATAAAAATGTCAGAGCACTGAGGTGTGTCGTGACTCAAACTGTTACCTGCTGGTGTTGATGAAGATGGAGGTTTTCTTCATTTTGGAGAAAAGGTTCTCATTGCAGATCTCTCTTGTCTCCGGTGTTAAAGCACAGCACACAGCCAGGAAGTCTGACTGCTTTGCCAACTCATCGAACGAAACTAGAGCATCAAAACAGGGTCCACTTAACATAATTCTATTTTAGTGTCTAATATTTAATTCTATTAAACGTAATTTTTTTATATAAGAAATTGATTTGACTTTAGGCATGGTCAATCTTTAAACTCCACTAAAAATCTTATTATCACATCCCATCTCCTGATAAGTACAAGTTGGGGCCTAAGTGACTGCTTCACGTCTTACCATACTCAGCATTGATAGCTTTGGCCAGGTCAGGTCTGGGAGCCACGTCTGTGTAGATAAACTTCTTTACTTTGAAGGGGGCCAGACGCTCTGCAATAGCTACACCTAAGGAACAAACACACAGGACAAAGGGCTGATATTCCTTGAAGGAAAGCAGATAACACCCCCCTTTCATGCAAAAGTTTTGAATTTAACATAATTTTATTCTGCTATACTGCTTTGGTGACCCCTAAAGGGAGCAGCCGAAAAACAAAGAAGAAAAGATTATTGTTATTATTATTATTATTATTATTATTATTATTATTATTATTATTATAATATGTCTTTCATGGCACTCATTGACACCACACAATAAAATACAATACAAAATGCAGTAAAATAAGAATAAAACCTCAAATGAGTTAAAGCCATTTTTGTCAAATGTTAAACTTTGTGTATGATCTTATGTGGTTTGTTTGTGCTCAGAGCGTACGTTTTTTCTCTTAATATCTGCAAAACTGTTGAGCCATGTCCATGTAAAGTTCCATTGACTTGGTAAAAAGGTAAAAGCAATCCACTGTGCTATACTCACCGATCCGTCCAAGACCCAGAATACCCACTGTGCTGTTGGCCAACTCATGGCCACACAACCACAGAGTTCTCCACGTGCCCCAGCCACCACTGACACATTAAAGAAAGACATTTGTTGAAAGTATGTAATGCACGGTGTGTTTATTAGTAAAGTTGAGTGTGTGTTTAATTGAAAATGTTACGTCTTGGCTTCATGAGTGGCCTCGATGAGTCGTCTGGAGGTCGCGAGCAGCAAAGCCACGGTCAGCTCAGCAACAGCATCTGTCAGAACATCAGGGGTGTAACCTACACGGACTCCTCTGCAGAGAGACACGCATGACAGGAAGCCATGCACGTCAGGTAAGGTCTAAGAAGATGTTCGCAGATAAGAACTTTAGAAACTCAACTCAGCTTGAACTTAAAAGGTGGCATCACCTTTTCTTCAGCTCCTGCAAAAACAGATGATCGTAACCCACAGACATGGTGCTGACAACCTTCAGGTTTGGGCCTGCAGGAGAACATCAAGCATCAAACATGAGGAATATTGGGGTTGCTCTTCTACTAATTCAAAGACTGCAGACGTCATACCCGCTGCGTCCAACAGCTCTGCATCAATCTTTTCTGTCAGCACGCAGAGGAGACCGTCAACACCTTTCACTTTCTGAAGCAGCTCCTTCCTTGGCACTGGGACGTCGTCTGAGTTCCACAGCTCAAACTGCACTCTTTGAAAAGAGGGGAGGACACAAACCAAAAGCAAATCAACTATGTCTTCATCAACCCACACAGGCAACACAAAACTTGTCCCATGCAAAGATGATGCTCCTAGTTTGATGGTTATTACACCCAAATGTGGCACATCCGAAAGAGGTATTTTTCTTAAAGGCAATGGTCTATTTTAAGAGTTTGAAGCAAATAATGACAATTTACCTGAAGCAAACAATAATTACTGTTTTGACTCACTGTCCCGAATCCTGGAGGATCTTCAGGCCCTCAGGTGGGATCTGTCTGGTGACATACACCCGTTGCAGAGTTGACATCTCTCTCTGCACTTTAGTTGTTGCACCACCAGCAGCACTCAGAGGAGCAACTGCGATCCTCTGGAGCCGACGCAGAGCCATGCGACTGCTCCACATTTCCAAGAAAGAATAAGCCCGTCTGCAGTTCTCTGTGGGACGAAGGTGGTGGTTTGGAGCTTAGAGGGTGTTGCAGGCACGAGTACAAGTCGGGCTGCAGTGCAGGGGGAGGCTCCCCTGTGAGTTTGGCCAATATGATTACAGGGAGGTTGCCTCCAGGGTCTGAAGGTGAGGGATATCTTTCCCAGGCAAACAAAACACAAAATCCCTGAGCCTGGTCTTTGTTCAGGCCTGAGTGAAAACGGTCCTTTGTGTTTTACGACAACCTTCTTTTAAAACATGTACACACGCAATTGTTCAAACTCTTCCTTTAAACATCAATAGTGCTGTGTGTTATTTCTACAGACATCCCCAGAACTGGATTTAGACAGATGTAAATGTTTCACTTGGCTGCTGACCTTTGATTCATCAAACATTGGTGGACCCAAACACTTCTGTTCCTTTCACCTGCTTGGACTGGTTTACAAATCTCCCCTCAGTTTACTGGGTGTAGATATACAGTGTTTTGTTTTAGGTAGATCAGACACATGACACCTGATCTCACTTCTCTTGATATTTATTTATTTATTTATTTAT